GTCTATGTGTGTGTGTCTATGTGCAGGTGACTCCGCTCGGCTCGTCTGCCTGCATCACGGCGCTGTCCCTCGTTGAGGACCTCCAGGGCAGCACCGTGGAGAAAGTGAACAGCCGGACACACCACAAAGTGTCAGGCCTACACCAGTAGGCACACACAGTGACACACACAGTGACACACACAGTGACACACACACAGTGACACAGTGACACACACACACAGTGACACACACAGTGACACACACACAGTGACACACACACAGTGACACACACAGTGACACACACAGTGACACACACACACAGTGACCACACACAGTGACACACACACAGTGACACACACAGTGACACACACACAGTGACACACACACAGTGACACCACAGTGACACACACAGTGACACACACACAGTGACACACACAGTGACACACACAGTGACACACACACAGTGACACACACACAGTGACACACACACACAGTGACACACACAGTGACACCACACAGTGACACACACACAGTGACACACACACACAGTGACACACACACACAGTGACACACACAGTGACACACACAGTGACACACACACACAGTGACACACACAGTGACCACACACACAGTGACACACACACAGTGACACACACAGTGACACACACACACAGTGACACACACACAGTGACACACACACAGTGACACACACAGTGACACACAGTGACACACACACAGTGACACACACACAGTGACACACACAGTGACACACACAGTGACACACACAGTGACACACACAGTGAACACACACACAGTGACACACACACACAGCCGGACACACAGTGACACACACAGTGACACACCACACAGTGAACACACACACAGTGAAACACACACACAGTGAAACACACAGTGACACACACATAGTGACACACACACAGTGACACACACAGTGAGTGAATGAGTAGGTGAGTGGCTGAGTGGTTGAGTGAGTGGGTGAGTGAGTGAGTGGGTGAGTGGTTGAGTGAGTTAGTGGCTGAGTGGCTGAGTGGGTGGGTTAGTGAGTGAGTGGCTGAGTGACTGAGTGAGTGGCTGAGTGAGTGCCTGAGTGGGTGAGTGAGTGGCTGAGTGAGTGACTGAGTGGCTGAGTGAGTGACTGAGTGGCTGAGTGAGTGAGTGGCTGAATGAGTGGCTGTGTGAGTGGCTGAGTGACTGAGTGGCTGACTGAGTGAGTGGCTGAGTGAGTGAGTGGCTGAGTGAGTGGTGAGTAGTGAGTGAGTGAGTGGCTGAGTGAGTGGTGAGTGAGTGAGGTGCTGAGTGACTGAATGGGTGAGTGTCTGAGTGAGTGAGTGAGTGGGTGAGTGCCTGAGTGGCTTGAGTGAGTGAGTGGGTGAGTGAGTGGCTGAGTGAGTGAGTGGCTGTGGGGTGAGTGAGTGAGTGGCTGAGTGAGTGAGTAGCTGAATGATTGAGTGAGTGGCTGAGTGAGTGAGTTGCTGAGTGACTGAATGGGTGAGTGTCTGAGTGAGTGAGTGGGTGAGTGCCTGAGTGGCTGAGTGAGTGAGTGGGTGAGTGAGTGGCTGAGTGAGTGAGTGGCTGTGGGGTGAGTGAGTGAGTGGCTGAGTGAGTGAGTAGCTGAATGATTGAGTGAGTGGCTGAGTGAGTGAGTTGCTGAGTGACTGAATGGGTGAGTGTCCTGAGTGGGTGAGTGGCTGACTGAGTGAGTGGCTGAGTGAGTGAGTGGCTGTGGGGTGAGTGAGTGAGTGGCTGAGTGAGTGGTGAGTGAGTGACTAAGTGACTGAGTGAGTGGCTGACTGAGTGACTGAGTGAGTGAGTGGCTGAGTGAGTGAGTGGTAAGTGAGTGAGTGGCTGAGTGAGTGAATGACTGAGTGAGTGAGTGACTAAGTGACTGAGTGAGTGAGTGGCTGAGTGAGTGAGTGGGTGAGTGGCTGAGTGAGTGAGTGGCTGAGTGAGTGAGTGGCTGTGGGGTGAGTGAGTGAGTAGCTGAGTGAGTGAGTGAGTGGCTGAGTGAGTGAGTGGCTGAGTGAGTGGCTGACTGAGTGAGTGGCTGGGTGAGTGGCTGAGTGAGTGAGTGACTGAGTGAGTGAGTGGCTGACTGAGTGGCTGAGTGAGTGGCTGAGTGAGTAGCTGGGTGAGTGGCTGAGTAGGGGTGAGCGAGTGACTAAGTGACTGAGTGAGTGGCTGACTGAGTGACTGAGTGAGTGAGTGGTGAGAGAGTGGCTGAGTGAGTGAGTGACTAAGTGACTGAGTGAGTGAGTGACTAAGTGACTGAGTGAGTGAGTGACTAAGTGACTGAGTGAGTGAGTGACTAAGTGACTGAGTGAGTGAGTGACTGAGTGACTGATTGGCTGAGTGAGTGAGTGGCTGAGTGAGTGAGTGGCTGAGTGAGTGATTGAGTGACTAAGTGACTGAGTGAGTGACTGAGTGAGTGACTGAGTGAGTTAGTGGTGAGTGAGTGAGTGAGTGACTGAGTGGCTGAGTGAGTGAGTGGCTGAGTGGGTGAGTGAGTGGTGAGTGACTGAGTGGTGAGTGAGTGACTGAGTGAGTGACTGAGGTGAGTGAGTGGCTGAGTGAGTGAGTGAGTGACTAAGTGACTGAATGAGTGAGTGACTAAGTGACTGAGTGAGTGAGTGACTGAGTGACTGATTGGCTGAGTGAGTGAGTGGCTGAGTGAGTGCGTGGCTGAGTGAGTGACTGAGTGACTAAGTGACGGAGTGAGTTAGTGGTGAGTGAGTGGCTGAGTGACTGAGTGAGTGGCTGAGTGAGTGGCTGAGTGAGTGAGTGAGTAGCTGACTGAGTGGCTGAGTGAGTGAGTGACTAAGTGACTGAGTGAGTGAGTGGCTGAGCGACTGAGGTGACTAAGTGACTGAGTGAGTGACTGAGTGAGTGAGTGGCTGAGTGAGTGAGTGAGTGACTAAGTGAGTGAATGAGTGACTGAGTGAGTGGCTGAATGAGTGGCTGAGTGAGTGACTGAGTGGCTGAGTGAGTGACTGAGTGACTAAGTGGCTGAGTGACTGAGTGACTAAGTGACTAAGTGACTGAGTGACTGAGTGCCTGAGTGAGTGACTTAGTGAGTGACTGAGTGACTGAGTGACTAAGTGACTGAGTGAGTGACTGAGTGACTAAGTGACTAAGTGACTGAGTGACTGAGTGGTTGAGTGACTGACTGAGTGACTGAGTGCCTGAGTGAGTGACTGAGTGAGTAAGTGAGTGGCTGAGTGAGTGACTGAGTGGCTGAGTGAGTGGGTGAGTGACTGAGTGACTGACTGAGTGAGTTGACTGAGTGACTGACTGAGTGACTGAGTGGCTGACTGAGTGACTGAGTGACTGAGTGAGTGACTGAGTGACTGAGCGAGTGGCTGAGTGAGTGACTGAGTGGCTGAGTGAGTGACTGAGTGACTAAGTGAGTGACTGACTGAGTGAGTGACTGAGTGACTAAGCGAGTGACTGACTGAGTGACTGACTGAGTGACTGACTGAGTGGCTCCCACTGAGGGCACTTGCCCCTACTGTCCCTTGAGGCTACATGGGTGACTTTTGTCTGTGCAGGTATCTCCACCTCCTTCAAGGCCAAGCGATGTACCCGTTTCTGGTGGATCGAGATGGAGTGACCATCCTCTCTCCCTCCCATCACCAACTCTCAAACTACTAAGGTGTCACTGTGTGTGTCACTGTGTGTGTCACTGTGTGTGTGTCACTGTGTGTGTCACTGTGTGTGTCACTGTGTGTGTGTCACTGTGTGTGTGTCACTGTGTGTGGTCACTGTGTGTGTCGCTGTGTGTGTCGCGGTGCCGGACGGGCAACTCTGTCGTGGACAGCGCTGTGGGGGGAGATCCAATTTCGATTGGCTCCTCCCCTCATGGCATATGTGTCCACCACAGGGGCTAAACGGGGGGCTCTGGACGGGTGCGAGGGGCTGGTAACCCCTCCACCTTCAATTAATTACCACAAAACCAACGAATTAAACTGAAATATGTAACAACTAAGCTTGTGCCGGAGGCCCCGGGGGGCCAGGCGTCTATGACGTCTCCTGGCCAAAACCCAATTGGCGGAGCCAGGAGATTGAATACCTACCCTCGGGGCTACTCCAGAAACACGAAAAGCCACTACGGGTGGCCACGTGGAAATGTTCGAACGCTCACTGCAGAGGAGAGGCTGCCACTCCTCTGTCGGGAGCTGGACCGGTACCGCCTGGATCTATGCGGCATTCAGGAGGTCCGGTGGACCGGCTCTGGCTCCTGCCACCATGAGGGGTGGACAGTCCTCTACTCGGGGCAGCAGACTGCCAAACAACAGGGTGTGGGTCTTCTTTTGAACAAAAGAATGAAGGGGGCGTGGGAGCGTGGCGGTGAGGTGTGGGAAGCTGTAAGCCCCAGGCTACTTTGGGCTCGCCTTCCCATCAACCGGAGGCGAGGAATGGTGGTCGTGGTTACTTATGCCCCCACCGAAGATGAACATCCGTGGAGGGATGCAGGCAAAGCCGATGAGTCAGATGCCTTCTATGACCTCCTGTCACAGGTGCTGGCTAAAGTGGCCCCTCGGGATAGAGTCATCATGTTGGGTGACTTCAATGCCCGAGTTGGTCATGATACTGGCACCTGGTCTGGAGTGATTGGAGGGCATGGGCCAGATCAGCTCAATAACAACGGTAGGAGGCTGCTAGATTTTTGTGCAGCCCATGGGCTTGTAATTACCAACACGCTGTTCCGGCATCGGCGCATCCACACAACATCATGGATGCATGCCGGGTCCAAGCAAGAACATCTGCTGGACTACATAGTGACGGACCAGCGAATGCGAGCCCATGTCCTTGACACCAGGACCTACCGTGGAGCTGATCTGCCCTCTGACCATCGACTAGTCATCTGTAAGATGCGCCTGCCATTCTTCCACTCCGGTGGTGGGTGTACACCCAGGACCCCATTCCAACCTAAAGTGGCCTGGTCTCAGTTATCTGATGAAAGTCGCAAGCGAGAATTTCATCATCGCTTGCGGCTGGGATTGGCATCGTCCCCGACTCCTCCTGATGTCGAGGGTAAATGGGCGAGGTTTAGGACTGTGACTCATGCAGCTGCAATGGCTGCTTTGGGTACGCGGTCCAGACCTCCCCAGACACCCTGGATGACAGAGGAGTTGTTCAGGATGGTTGAGAAAAAAGCGACAGGCCCACTGTCATCGGCTACAGAATCCCACGTCAGAGAATGAGGAGGCTTACCGCAGCCTTCGCTCGGAGGTTCGGAGAGCCGTGAGGCGCTGCAAGGATGGGTGGTGGTCGCGGGTTGCTGAGGAGATGGAGTCTGCCTCAGTGGCCCGTGATCACAAATCTCTATTTAACTCCATCAAAAAAGTAACCTGCAGCGCCACACCTATTACCATCATTAGGGGAAAAAAACGGTGATCCAATTTCCGACCCCCAGGAACAGGTTCGCAGATTTGCTGAGCATTTCTGTGAGGTCCTGGGGTAGGGAAAATCCCTCAGCCAGGAAAACACCGTGGCACAAAGTGAGGATGACCCTGCTGAGGCTGCGGTGCCTCAAATATTGGAAGAAGTCACCCCCTGTGAGTGGCTGGCTGAGGTGCCATCTGCTGAGGAAGTATTGAAGGCGATCCGGAGTCTGAGACCAGGAAAGGCAGCGGGCAGAGATGATCTCCCAAGCAAAATGCTGAGGGAGGGTGGCGTTTGTGCACAGGCTGCCCTATATGACATCATAACAACAGTCTGGACCACTGGACGGGTTCCGCAGGATTGGAAGGATGCCCTGGTGGTCCCCCTTTTTAAGAAGGGGGACCGCACAGACTGTAACAACTACAGGGGCATCTCACTCCTCAGTGTGCCGGGAAAGGTCCTGGCAAGGATTATTCAGCATCGCCTTGCCAGGCACGCTGAGGAGAGGCTTGCGGAGCCCCAATGCGGTTTCAGGAAAGGGCGGTCCTGCACAGATGCCATATTTTCTGTCCGTCTGCTACAGCAGAGGTGTAGGGAATTCCAACAAGACCTACATCTCTGCTTTATTGACCTGGTCAAGGCCTATGATACCATCAGTAGGCCTGGGCTCTGGGTCGTTCTTCGTGCTTTTGGAGTACCTGACCCTCTGCTCACGATCATTAAGGACCTTCATGATGGTGAGCGGGCCCGGGTAAAACTACGTGGCCGGGAGTCAGAGCCATTCCCTGTACACCTTGGGGTGCGACAGGGATGTCCTCTGGCTCCCACATTATTTAACATCTATTTTGACCACGTAGTTCGTGAAGCCTTCAATAGCTGTACCGGGGGAATCTCCATATGGTACAGATATAATGGGAGGCTAATCGATGCCCGGGTGCGGTCAAGGGATGGCTCCCTATTGCTCAACCACGTTATGTATGCTGATGACTTGGTAATAGCTGCTCAGTCAGAGGAGGAGTTGGAGACGCTGCTGCTGAGACTGGAGCGTGCCACTAAGAGGTGGGGCCTTACCATCAGCCCCACCAAAACTAAGCACCTGCCTGGGTATTTTGTACCATCAGACACTCCACCCCCACAACTCCCAATCGGTGATGGGGCAGTTGTGGAGAGAGTGGAGAGTTTCCCATACCTGGGCAGTGTGCTTATGACTGGCTCCAGTTTAACAGCAGAGGTCTCACTCCGAATCAGTCGAGCGGCAATATCTTTTCATCGGTTGCGTAACGCTGTGTGGAAGCTACCTGGTCTGTCGCTCCGCACTAAGCTTCAGGTCTTCTCGGCCACGGTCATTCCCTCCCTTCTCTACGCTTGCGAAACGTGGACCCCCCTAATGGAACATCTTCGCCGGTTAGAAACATTTAGGCTGGCCTGCCTACGATCCATCCTGGGTTTAACCAGACTGGATTGTGTGAGGAGCTCACAAATCCTTGAAAGATCTGGGCAGGGTCCCATCGGTGAGCTCCTCCGGCAGGCAAGGCTGCGATGGCTGGATCATGTAGCCCGCATGCCCAGCCACCGCATGCCGAAACAGCTTTTGGCCGGATTGAGGGGGCTAAGCGGGCGCGGCACGGGCTAGAGAAGAGATGGAGTGATGTGGTACAGGAGGACGTGGAGCTGAGTGGACTTGCCGATGACTGGTACCAGCGGTGTCAAGATCGGCCTCTGTGGAGGAGGCTCGTGAAGGATGCTACTGGGCAGTTGGAGGCAGTCGCCCTCCAACAACAACGGAGGGCGGAGGAGCGACGCTCACAACAGCGAGCGGAGCGCCGGGTGGCTAAAGCACAGCAGGTTGGCACAGTAGGGGGCACAGGTGGTGCATCAGCCAGTCATCTCAGTCAGTCGACCCGTGGCACCTGGGTCTGCCCCGTGACCTCCTGCCAGCGGGCGTTCGACACTTCACGTGGCCTCAGGTGCACATAGCCTGGCACAAGCGTCGTGGTGATGTCACCGGCCACTTAGTGGCGAATGGCGGTTGTTGTTGTTGTTGTTGTTGTGTCACTGTGTGTGTGTCACTGTGTGTGTGTCACTGTGTGTGTGTGTGTGTGTCACTGTGTGTGTGTGTGTGTCACTGTGTGTGTGTCACTGTGTGTGTGTCACTGTGTGTGTGTCACTGTGTGTGTGTCACTGTGTCACTGTGTGTGTGTGTCACTGTGTGTGTGTGTCACTGTGTGTGTGTCACTGTGTGTGTGTCACTGTGTGTGTGTGTCACTGTGTGTGTGTCACTGTGTGTGTGTCACTGTGTGTGTGTGTCACTGTGTGTGTGTCACTGTGTCACTGTGTGTGTGTGTCACTGTGTGTGTGTAGGTGAGTGTGGACACTACGGAGGTGCTGGTGGAGGTGACCAGTAGTCACAGTCTGTGTGTGTGTCACTGTGTGTGTGTCACTGTGTGTGTCACTGTGTCACTGTGTGTGTGTCACTGTGTGTGTCACTGTGTGTGTCACTGTGTGTGTGTCACTGTGTGTGTCACTGTGTCACTGTGTGTGTGTCACTGTGTGTGTGTCACTGTGTGTGTCACTGTGTGTGTCACTGTGTGTGTGTCAGTGTGTCACTGTGTGTCACTGTGTCACTGTGTGTGTCACTGTGTGTGTGTCACTGTGTGTGTACACTGTGTGTGTCACTGTGTGTGTGTCACTGTGTGTGTCACTGTGTGTAGGTGAGTGTCACTGTGTGTGTCACTGTGTGTGTCACTGTGTGTGTGTCACTGTGTGTGTGTCACTGTGTGTGTCACTATGTGTGTGTCACTGTGTGTGTGTCACTGTGTGTGTCACTGTGTGTAGGTGAGTGTGGACACTACAGAGGTGCTGGTGGAGGTGACCAGTAGTCACAGTCTTGCATCCTGCAAGCTGGTCATGGACACCCTCATCACGGTGAGTACACTGTACACTACACTGCACACCATACTGTACACCACACTGCACACTACACTGTACACCACACTGCACACTACACTGTACACAACACACCACACTGTACACTACACAGCACACTACACTGTACACTACACCGCACACCACACTGTACACTACACCGTACACTACACTGCACACTACACTGTACACCACACCCTACACTGTACACTACACCGCACACTACACTGTACACTACACTGTACACTACACTGCACACTACACTGCACACTACACTGTACACTACACCGCACACTACACTGTACACTACACTGCACACTACACTGCACACTACACTGTACACTACACTGCACACTGCACTGTACACCACTACACTGTACACTACACCGCACACCACACTGCACACTACACCGCACACTACACTGTACACTGTACACTACACTGCACACTACACTGTACACTACACTGCACACTACACTGTACACTACACTGCACACTACACTGTACACTACACCGCACACTACACTGTACACCACACTGCACACCACACTGTACACTACTACACTACACTATACACTACTACACTACACTATACACTACTACACTACACTATACACTACTACACTATACACTACTACACTACACTATACACTACTACACTATTACACTACAGCACTATACACTACTACACTATACACTACTACACTATACACTACTACACTATAACACTACTACACTATACACACTACTACACTACACACTACTACACTATACACTACTACACTATACACTACTACACTATACACTACTACACTATACACTACTACACTATACACTACTACACTATACACTACTACACTATACACTACTACACTATACACTACTACACTATACACACTACTACACTACACACTACTACACTACACACTACTACACTATACACTACTACACTATACACTACTACACTATACACTACTACACTATACACTACTACACTACACTATACACTACTACACTACACTATACACTACTACACTACACTATACACTACTACACTATACACTACTACACTACACTATACACTACTACACTATTACACTACAGCACTATACACTACTACACTATACACTACTACACTATACACTACTACACTATACACTACTACACTATACACACTACTACACTACACACTACTACACTATACACTACTACACTATACACTACTACACTATACACTACTACACTATACACTACTACACTATACACTACTACACTATACACTACTACACTATACACTACTACACTATACACTACTACACTATACACACTACTACACTACACACTACTACACTACACACTACTACACTATACACTACTACACTATACACTACTACACTATACACTACTACACTATACACTACTACACTACACACTACTACACTATACACTACTACACTATACACTACTACACTATACACTACTACACTATACACTACTACACTATACACTACTACACTATACACTACTACACTATACACTACACTATACACTACTACACTATACACTACTACACTATACACTACTACACTACTACACTATACACTACTACACTATACAATACTACACTACACTATACACTACTACACTATACACTACTACACTACACTATACACTACTACACTATACACTACAACACTACTGCACTACAATATACACTACTACACTATACACTACTACACTATACACTACTACACTATACACTACTACACTATACACTACTACACTACACTACTATACTATATACTACTACACACTCAATCACCCACCCACTCACTCACCCACTCACTCACCCATTCACTCACCCACCTACTCATTCGCTCACTCACCCACCCACCCACTCACTCACCCACCCACTTACCCACTCACTCACCCACCCACTTACCCACTCACTCACCCACCCACCCACTCACCCTCTCACCCACCCACTCACTCACTCCGCCACCCACACACTCACCCACTCACTCACCCACCCACTCACTCACTCAGTCACTCACTCAGTCACTCACTCACTCACTCACCCACCCACTCACTCACTCACCCACTCACTCACCCACTCACTCACTCACTCACCCACCCACTCACTCACCTCACTCACCCACCCACCTACTCACTCACTCACCCACCCACTCAACCACTCACTCACCCACTCACTCACCCAATCACTCACCCACTCACTCACCCACTCACTCACCCACTCACTCACTCACCCACTCACTCACCCACCCACTCACTCACTCACCCTCCCACTCACTCACTCACCCACCCACTCACCCACTCACTCACTCACCCACCCACTCACCCACCCACTCACTGACTCACTCACCCACCCACTCACCCACCCACTCACTCACTCACTCACCCACACACCCACCCACCCACTCACTCACTCACCCTCCCACTCACTCACTCACCCACCCACTCACCCACCCACCCACTCACCCACTCACTCACCCACCCACTCACCCACCCACCCACCCCACTCACTCACCCACTCACTCACTCACTCACCCACCCACCCACTCACTCACTCACTCACCCACCAACTCACCCACTCACTCACCAACTCAGCCACTCACTCACCCACTCACTCACTCACTCACCCACCCACTCACTCAGTCACTCACTCAGTCACTCACTCACCCACTCACTCACCCACTCACTCACCCACTCACTCACCCACTCACTCACCCACTCACTCACTCACTCACCCACTCACCCACCTACCCACTCACTCACTCACCCTCCCCACTCACTCACTCACTCACCCACCCACTCACCCACTCACTCACTCACCCACCCACTCACCCACCCACTCACTCACTCACTCACCCACTCACCCACCACCCACTCACTTACTCACCCTCTCACTCACTCACTCACCCACCCACTCACCCACCCACCCACTCACCCACTCACTCACCCACCCACTCACCCACCCACTCACCCACCCACTCACCCACTCACTCACCCACTCACTCCCTCACTCACTCACCCACCCACTCACTCACCCACTCACTCACCCACTCACTCACACACTCACCCACCCACCCACCCACCCACTCACTCACCCACTCACCCACCCACTCACCCACCCACCCACCCACTCACCCACCCACCCACCCACTCACTCACCCACTCACTCACTCACTCACCCACCCACCCACTCACTCACCCACTCACTCACTGACTCACCCACCCACTTACCCATTGATGATGATATTGATGTTGTTGTTGATGATGTTGATGATGTTGTTGTTGATGATGATGATGATGTTGATGTTGTTGATGTTGTTGATGTTGATGATGTTGTTGATGATGTTGATGTTGTTGATGATGTTGTTGTTGTTGATGATGATGTTGATGATGTTGGTGTTGATGATGATGTTGATGTTGTTGATGATGATGATGTTGATGTTGTTGTTGATATTGTTGTTGTTGTTGTTGATGATGATGTTGTTGATGTTGTTGATGATGTTGATGTTGTTGATGATGTTGTTGTTGATGATGATGTTGTTGATGTTGTTGATGATGTTGATGTTGATGATGATGATGTTGTTGTTGTTGATGATGATGTTGTTGATGATGTTGATGTTGATGTTGTTGATGATGTTGTTGTTGATGATGAGGTTGATGTTGTTGATGATGATGATGTTGTTGTAGATGATGTTGTTGATGTTGTTGTTGATGTTGATGTTTTTGATGATTTCCTCACAGAGAGTGGCTGAGCTTCACCACTCACTGCAACAGCTTCCTGGAACAATAAACCCTGATGAGGTGATGGTGGTGATGGTGGTGATGGTGGTGATGGTGGTGGTGATGGTGGTGGTGATGGTGGTGATGGTGGTGGTGATGGTGATGGTGGTGGTGGTGATGGTGGTGATGGTGGTGATGGTGGTGGTGGTGATGGTGGTGGTGGTGGTGGTGATGGTGGTGGTGGTGATGGTGATGGTGGTGATGGTGATGGTGGTGGTGATGGTGGTGATGGTGGTGGTGATGGTGGTGATGGTGGTGGTGATGGTGGTGATGGTGGTGGTGGTGATGGTGGTGATGGTGGTGATGGTGGTGGTGGTGGTGATGGTGATGGTGGTGGTGATGGTGGTGGTGGTGGTGATGGTGGTGATGGTGGTGGTGATGGTGGTGATGGTGGTGGTGATGGTGGTGGTGATGGTGGTGATGGTGGTGGTGGGGTGGTGATGGTGGTGATGGTGGTGGTGATGGTGATGGTGGTGGTGGTGGTGATGGTGATGGTGGTGATGGTGGTGATGGTGGTGGTGATGGTGGTGATGGTGGTGATGGTGGTGGTGGTGATGGTGGTGATGGTGGTGGTGATGGTGGTGGTGATGGTGGTGATGGTGGTGATGGTGGTGATGGTGGTGGTGGTGATGGTGGTGATGGTGGTGGTGATGGTGGTGGTGGTGGTGATGGTGGTGATGGTGGTGATGGTGGTGATGGTGGTGGTGGTGATGGTGGTGATGGTGGTGGTGATGGTGGGTGGTGGTGGTGATGGTGGTGATGGTGGTGATGGTGGTGGTGGTGGTGGTGATGGTGATGGTGGTGATGGGTGATGGTGGTGGTGGTGATGGTGGTGATGGTGGTGGTGATGGTGGTGATGGTGGTGATGGTGGTGGTGGTGATGGTGGTGATGGTGGTGGTGATGGTGGTGGTGATGGTGGTGTGGTGGTGATGGTGGTGGTGATGGTGGTGATGGTGGTGATGGTGGTGGTGATGGTGATGATGGTGGTGATGGTGGTGATGGTGGTGGTGGTGATGGTGGTGGTGGTGGTGATGGTGGTGGTGATGGTGGTGATGGTGGTGATGGTGGTGATGGTGGTGGTGGTGATGGTGGTGGTGGTGATGGTGGTGATGGTGGTGGTGGTGGTGATGGTGGTAGTGATGGTGGTGATGGTGGTGGTGGTGATGGTGGTGGTGGTGGTGATGGTGGTGATGGTGATGGTGGTGGTGATGGTGATGGTGGTGATGGTGGTGATGGTGGTGATGGTGGTGATGGTGATGGTGGTGGTGGTGATGGTGATGGTGGTGATGGTGGTGATGGTGGTGGTGATGGTGGTGGTGGTGATGGTGGTGATGGTGATGGTGGTGATGGTGATGGTGGTGATGGTGGTGGTGATGGTGGTGGTGATGGTGGTGATGGTGGTGGTGGTGGTGGTGGTGGTGGTGGTGGTGATGGTGGTGGTGATGGTGGTGATGGTGGTGATGGTGGTGATGGTGGTGGTGGTGATGGTGGTGGTGGTGATGGTGGTGATGGTGGTGGTGGTGGTGATGGTGGTAGTGATGGTGGTGATGGTGGTGGTGGTGATGGTGGTGGTGGTGGTGATGTGGTGATGGTGATGGTGGTGGTGATGGTGATGGGGTGATGGTGTGATGGTGGTGATGGTGGTGGTGGTGGTGATGGTGATGGTGGTGGTGATGGTGGTGGTGGTGATGGTGGTGATGGTGATGGTGGTGATGGTGATGGTGGTGATGGTGGTGATGGTGATGGTGGTGGTGGTGGTGATGGTGATGGTGGTGGTGGTGGTGATGGTGATGGTGGTGATGGTGGTGATGGTGGTGGTGATGGTGGTGATGGTGGTGATGGTGATGGTGGTGGTGGTGATGGTGGTGGTGATGGTGTTGGGTGGTGATGGTGATGGTGGTGGTGGTGATGGTGATGGTGGTGGTGATGGTGGGTGATGGTGGTGGTGGTGGTGATGGTGGTGATGGTGGTGGTGGTGGTGGTGATGGTGGTAGTGATGGTGGTGATGGTGGTGGTGGTGGTGGTGGTGATGGTGGTGATGGTGATGGTGGTGGTGATGGTGATGGTGGTTGTGATGGTGGTGGTGGTGATGGTGATGGTGGTGATGGTGATGGTGGTGATGGTGATGGTGGTGATGGTGATGGTGGTGGTGGTGGTGGTGATGGTGATGGTGGTGATGGTGGTGATGGTGGTGGTGATGGTGGTGATGGTGGTGATGGTGATGGTGGTGATGGTGGTGGTGATGGTGATGGTGGTGATGGTGGTGATGGTGGTGATGGTGGTGATGGTGGTGATGGTGATGGTGGTGGTGGTGATGGTGGTGATGGTGGTGATGGTGGTGGTGATGGTGGTGGTGGTGATGGTGGTGATGGTGATGGTGGTGATGGTGATGGTGGTGATGGTGGTGGTGATGGTGGTGGTGATGGTGGTGATGGTGGTGGTGGTGATGGTGGTGGTGGTGGTGGTGATGGTGGTGGTGATGGTGGTGATGGTGGTGATGGTGGTGGTGGTGATGGTGGTGGTGGTGATGGTGGTGATGGTGGTGGTGGTGGTGATGGTGGTAGTGATGGTGGTGATGGTGGTGGTGGTGATGGTGGTGGTGGTGGTGATGGTGGTGATGGTGATGGTGGTGGTGATGGTGAGGGTGGTGATGGTGGTGATGGTGGTGATGGTGATGGTGGTGGTGGTGGTGATGGTGATGGTGGTGGTGATGGTGGTGGTGGTGATGGTGGTGTGATGGTGGTGATGGTGATGGTGGTGATGGTGGTGATGGTGGTGATGGTGATGGTGGTGGTGGTGGTGATGGTGATGGTGGTGGTGGTGGTGATGGTGATGGTGGTGATGGTGGTGATGGTGGTGGTGATGGTGGTGATGGTGGTGATGGTGATGGTGGTGGTGGTGATGGTGGTGGTGATGGTGATGGTGGTGATGGTGATGGTGGTGGTGGTGGTGATGGTGGTGATGGTGGTGGTGGTGATGGTGGTGGTGATGGTGGTGATGGTGGTGGTGGTGGTGGTGATGGTGGTGGTGGTGGTGGTGGTGATGGTGGTAGTGATGGTGGTGATGGTGGTGGTGGTGATGGTGGTGGTGGTGGTGATGGTGGTGATGGTGGTGGTGATGGTGATGGTGGTGATGGTGATGGTGGTGATGGTGATGGTGGTGATGGTGATGGTGGTGATGGTGGTGATGGTGGTGATGGTGATGGTGGTGGTGGTGGTGATGGTGATGGTGGTGATGGTGGTGATGGTGGTGATGGTGATGGTGGTGATGGTGGTGGTGATGGTGGTGATGGTGGTGATGGTGATGGTGGTGGTGATGGTGATGGTGGTGGTGGTGATGGTGGTGGTGATGGTGATGGTGGTGATGGTGATGGTGGGTGGTGGTGATGGTGATGGTGGTGGTGATGGTGGTGGTGATGGTGATGGTGGTGGTGATGGTGGTGATGGTGGTGATGGTGGTGGTGGTGGTGATGGTGATGGTGGTGATGGTGGTGGTGATGGTGGTGGTGGTGGTGATGGTGATGGTGGTGATGGTGGTGGTGGTGGTGATGGTGGTGGTGGTGGTGATGGTGGTGGTGATGGTGGTGATGGTGTGAGTGTGGTGGTGGTGGTGGTGATGGTGGTGGTGATGGTGGTGATGGTGGTGGTGGTGATGGTGGTGGTCGTGGTGATGGTGGTGATGGTGGTGGTGATGGTGGTGGTGGTGATGGTGGTGATGGTGGTGATGGTGGTGATGGTGGTGGTGGTGATGGTGATGGTGGTGATGGTGGTGGTGATGGTGGTGATGGTGGTGATGGTGATGGTGGTGGTGATGGTGATGGTGGTGGTGGTGATGGTGGTGGTGATGGTGATGGTGGTGATGGTGATGGTGGTGATGGTGGTGGTGGTCGTGGTGATGGTGGTGGTGATGGTGGTGGTGATGGTGGTGGTGGTGGTGGTGATGGTGGTGATGGTGGTGATGGTGGTGGTGGTGGTGATGGTGATGGTGGTGGTGGTGGTGGTGATGGTGGTGGTGGTGGTGATGGTGATGGTGGTGATGGTGGTGGTGGTGGTGATGGTGGTGGTGGTGGTGATGGTGGTGGTGATGGTGGTGATGGTGTGAGTGTGGTGGTGGTGGTGGTGGTGATGGTGGTGGTGATGGTGGTGATGGTGGTGGTGGTGATGGTGGTGGTGATGGTGGTGATGGTGGTGATGGTGGTGGTGATGGTGATGGTGGTGGTGATGGTGATGGTGATGATGGTGGTGATGGTGATGGTGGTGGTGGTGGTGATGGTGGTGATGGTGATGGTGGTGGTGATGGTGAGGTGGTGGTGGTGATGGTGGTGGTGGTGATGGTGATGATGGTGGTGATGGTGGTGATGGTGGTGGTGGTGATGGTGGTGATGGTGGTGATGGTGGTGGTGGTGGTGGTGGTGATGGTGATGGTGGTGGTGGTGATGGTGATGGTGGTGGTGATGGTGGTGGTGGTGATGGTGGTGGTGATGGTGGTGGTGGTGATGGTGATGGTGGTGTTGGTGGTGGTGATGGTGTGGTGATGGTGGTGATGGTGGTGGTGGTGATGGTGATGGTGTGGTGTTGGTGGTGGTGGTGATGGTGGTGGTGGTGATGGTGGTGATGGTGGTGGTGTTGGTGATGGTGGTGGTGGTGGTGGTGATGGTGGTGATGGTGGTGATGGTGGTGGTGGTGGTGATGGTGGTGATGGTGGTGGTGATGGTGGTGGTGATGGTGGTGATGGTGGTGGTGGTGATGGTGATGGTGGTGTTGGTGATGGTGGTGTTGGTGATGGTGGTGGTGATGGTGGTGGTGATGGTGGTGATGGTGGTGGTGTTGGTGATGGTGGTGGTGGTGGTGGTGATGGTGGTGGGTGGTGATGATGGTGATGATGGTGGTGATGGTGGTGATGGTGGTGGTGGTGGTGATGGTGGTGGTGATGGTGGTGGTGGTGATGATGGTGGTGGTGGTGATGGTGGTGGTGGTGATGGTGGTGGTGGTGATGGTGATGGTGGTGGTGGGTGGTGATGGTGGTGGTGATGGTGGTGGTGATGGTGGTGGTGGTGATGGTGGTGATGGTGGTGGTCGTGGTGATGGTGGTGATGGTGGTGGTGATGGTGGTGGTGGTGATGGTGGTGATGGTGGTGATGGTGGTGATGGTGGTGGTGGTCGTGGTGATGGTGGTGGTGATGGTGGTGGTGATGGTGGTGGTGATGGTGGTGATGGTGGTGGTGATGGTGGTGATGGTGGTGATGGTGGTGGTGGTGGTGATGGTGGTGGTGATGGTGGTGATGGTGGTGATGGTGGTGGTGGTCGTGGTGATGGTGGTGGTGATGGTGGTGGTGATGGTGGTGATGGTGCTACTACTGATGATGATGATGATGCTGCTTCTGATGATGATGATGATGCTACTGATGATGATGATGATGCTGCTGCTGCTACTGATGATGATGCTACTGATGATGATGATACTAATGATGATGATGATGCTACTGATGATGATGATACTAATGATGATGATGCTGCTACTGATGATGATGCTACTGATGATGATGATGTTACTGATGATGATGGTGATGTTACTGATGGTGATGTTACTGATGATGATGATGATGTTACTGATGATGATGATGTTACTGATGATGATGTTACTGATGGTGATGTTACTGATGGTGATGTTACTGATGATGATGTTACTGATGATGATGGTGGTGATGTTACTGATGGTGATGTTACTGATGGTAATGTTACTGATGGTGGTGTTACTGATGATGATGATATTACTGATGGTGTTGATGGTGGTGGTGATGATGTTACTGATGATGATGATGATGGTGGTGGTGATGTTTGCAGACTCAACGAACTGGAACCAAGAAGGCATTGGAGGTGATGCAGGTAACAAATCACGTGATGGTGATGGTGGTGATGGTGGTGATGGTGGTGATGGTTGTGGTGTTGATGGTGGTGGTGATGGTGGTTGATGTTATTGATGTTGTTGTTTATGTTGTTCAGGTGATGATGTTGTTGATGTTGTTGTTGATGTTGTTGATGTTCTTGATGATGTTGTTGATGATGTTGATGATGATGTTGTTGATGATGTTGTTGATGTTGTTGATGATGATGATGTTGTTGTTGATGTTGTTGTTATCCAGGTGATGGGGCTGAATGAGGCTGATGGATGTCTACGTGTGATGATGTTGTTGATGTTGATGATGTTGTTGATGATGTTGATGTTGTTGATGTTGTTGTTGATGATGTTGTTGATGATGTTGATGATGTTGTTGATGTTGATGATGTTGTTGTTGATGTTGTTGTTGATGTTGTTGATGATGATGTTGTTGTTGATGATGATGTTGATGATGTTGATGATGTTGATGATGATGTTGTTGATGTTGTTGTTGATGTTGATGTTGTTGTTGTTGATGATGTTGTTGATGTTGTTGTTGTTGATGTTGATGATGTTGATGTTGTTGTTGATGTTGTTGTTGATGTTGTTGTTGATGTTGTTGTTGATGTTGTTGTTGTTGATGTTGTTGTTGATGTTGTTGTTGATGTTGTTGTTGATGTTCTCCAGGTGGTGGTGCTGAATGAGGCTGATGGATGTCTTCGTGTGATGATGTTGATGATGTTGTTGATGATGTTGTTGTTGATGATGTTGATGTTGTTGTTGATGATGTTGTTGATGATGTTGTTGTTGATGATGTTGATGTTGTTGTTGTTGATGTTGTTGATGTTGATGTTGTTGATGTTGATGTTGTTGATGATGTTGTTGATGATGTTGTTGATGATGTTGTTGTTGATGATGTTGATGTTGATGTTGTTGTTGATGATGTTGTTGATGATGTTGTTGTTGATGATGTTTATGTTGTTGTTGTTGATGTTGTTGATGATGTTGTTGATGATGTTGTTGATGATGTTGTTGTTGATGTTGTTGTTGATGTTGTTGATGATGTTGATGTTGTTTTTGATGTTGTTGTTGATGTTGTTGATGATGTTGTTGTTGATGTTGTTGTTGATGATGTTGTTGATGATGTTGATGTTCTCCAGGTGGTGGTGCTGAATGAGGCTGATGGATGTCTACGTGTGATGATGTTGTTGTTCTTGATGATGTTGTTGATGTTGTTGTTGATGATGTTGATGTTGTTCAGGTGGTGGTGCTGAATGAGGCTGATGGATGTCTACGTGTGATGTATCCCAGCCGAACCGACCTCACCGCCACCAACATCAACGTCGTGTGGTGATGGGGTCCAACATCAACAACATCAACAACATCAACAACAACATCAACAATAACATCACCACCATCAACATCACCGCCATCATCAACATCAACATCACCACCATCAACATCAACAACATCACCACCATCATCACCATCACCACCATCACCACCATCAACATCACCGCCATCAACAACATCACCACCATCAACATCATCGCCATCAACATCACCACCATCACCACCATCAACATCACCACCATCACCACCATCAACATCACCACCATCACCACCATCACCATCACCGCCATTATCACCATCACCACCATCACCACCACCACCAACATCACCACCACCACCACCATCAACACCTTCACCACCATCCCCATCACCACCATCGCCATCAACATGACCACCATCACCACCATCACCACCATCACCACCATCAACATCACCACCATCACCATCATCACCATCACCACCATCACCACCACCACCACCATCACCACCATCACCACCATCACCACCACCACCACCACCATCACCACCACCACCATCACCACCACCACCATCACCACCACCACCATCACCACCATCACCACCACCACCACCATCACCATCACCACCACCACCATCACCACCATCACCACCACCACCATCACCACCACCACCACCACCATCACCACCATCCCCACCGCCATCACCACCATCAACATCACCACCATCAACATCACCGCCAGGCAACCAAGAAGTCAAACTGATCGATGTTTGTGATGTCATACTGTGATGGTGGTGATGATGATGGTAATGTTGATGGTGGTCGTGGTGGTGATGTTGGATAATAAAGCATTGGAAGCAACTCTATCAAAATCAACTCGGATCAATCACTCACTCTACACTACACTATACACTACTACACTATACACTACTACACTACACACTACTACACTATTACACTACACTATTACACTACACTATACACTACTACACTATACACTACTACACTATACACTACTACACTGTACTATACACTACTACACTATACACTACGATACACTACTACACTATATACTACTACACTATACACTACTACACTATACTATACACTATACACACCACTACACTATACACTACTACACTATATACTATACACTACTACACTATTACACTACACACTACTACACTACACTATACACTACCACACTACACACTACTACACTACACACTACTACACTATACACTACTACACTATACACTACTACACTATACACTACTACACTATACACTACTACACTATACACTACTACACTATACACTACGATACACTACTACACTATATACTACTACACTATACACTACTACACTATACTATACACTACTACACTATACACACCACTACACTATACACACCACTACACTATATACTATACACTACACACTACTACACTACACTACACACTACTACACTACACTACTACTGTACACTACTACACTATACACTACTACTGTACACTACTACACTATACACTACTACTGTACACTACTACACTGTACACTACACACTGCTACACTATACACTATACACCACTACACTATACACTACTACACTATACACTACTCCACTACACTATACACTACTACAAAGTGGTACAAAGTGTATAGTTTTACCCGGGCCCGCTCACCATCATGAAGGTCCTTAATGATCGTGAACAGAGGGTCAGGTACTCCAAAAGCACGAAGAACGACCCAGAGGCCAGGCCTACTGATGGTATCATAGGCCTTAACCAGGTCAATAAAGCAGAGATGTAGGTCTTGTTGGAATTCCCTACACCTCTGCTGTAGCAGACGGACAGAAAATATGGCATCTGTGCAGGACCGCCCTTTCCTGAAACCGCATTGGGGCTCCGCAAGCCTCTCCTCAGCGTGCCTGGCAAGGCGATGTTGAATAATCCTTGCCAGGACTTTTCCCGGCACACTGAGGAGTGAGATGCCCCTGTAGTTGTTACAGTCTGTGCGGTCCCCCCTTCTTAAAGAGGGGGACCACCAGGGCATCCTTCCAATCCTGCGGAACCCGTCCAGTGGTCCAGACTGTTGTTATGATGTCATATAGGGCAGTCTGTGTTAAAAAAAAAATCTAACAGAGACGGACACAGAGACCCACAGAGACTCACAGACACAGAGACACACACAGAGACTCAGAGACCCACACAGAGAGTCAGAGGTCCTGGAGACATTTATTAAGCAGCAGGCAGTGTCAGGGTCCAGGGATTGAACCCACGACCTCCTGTAGACCAGGCGAGGTGGTCAACATCTACCACGACCTCCTGTAGACCAGGCGAGGTGGTCAACATCTACCACGACCTCCTGTAGACCAGGCGAGGTGATCAACGTCTACCACGACCTCCTGTAGACCAGGCGAGGTGGTCAACATCTACCACGACCTCCTGTAGACCAGGCGAGGTGGTCAACATCTACCACGACCTCCTGTAGACCAGGCGAGGTGGTCAACATCTACCACGACCTCCTGTAGACCAGGCGAGGTGGTCAACAGCTACCACGACCTCCTGTAGACCAGGCGAGGTGGTCAACATCTACCACGACCTCCTGTAGACCAGGCGAGGTGGTCAACGTCTACCACGACCTCCTGTAGACCAGGCGAGGTGGTCAACATCTACCACGACCTCCTGTAGACCAGGCGAGGTGGTCAACATCTACCACGACCTCCTGTAGACCAGGCGAGGTGGTCAACATCTACCACGACCTCCTGTAGACCAGGCGAGGTGTTCAACATCTACCACGACCTCCTGTAGACCAGGCGAGGTGGTCAACGTCTACCACGACCTCCTGTAGACCAGGCGAGGTGTTCAACATCTACCACGACCTCCTGTAGACCAGGCAAGGTGGTCAACGTCTACCACGACCTCCTGTAGACCAGGCGAGGTGTTCAACATCTACCACGACCTCCTGTAGACCAGGCGAGGTGTTCAACATCTACCACGACCTCCTGTAGACCTGGCGAGGTGGTCAACGTCTACCACGACCTCCTGTAGACCAGGCGAGGTGGTCAACATCTACCACGACCTCCTGTAGACCAGGCGAGGTGGTCAACATCTACCACGACCTCCTGTAGACCAGGCGAGGTGGTCAACATCTACCACGACCTCCTGTAGACCAGGCGAGGTGGTCAACATCTACCACGACCTCCTGTAGACCAGGCGAGGTGGTCAACGTCTACCACGACCTCCTGTAGACCAGGCGAGGTGTTCAACATCTACCACGACCTCCTGTAGACCAGGCTAGGTGGTCAACATCTACCACGACCTCCTGTAGACCAGGCGAGGTGGTCAACATCTACCACGACCTCCTGTAGACCAGGCGAGGTGGTCAACATCTACCACGACCTCTTGTAGACCAGGCGAGGTGGTCAACATCTACCACGACCTCCTGTAGACCAGGCGAGGTGGTCAACATCTACCACGACCTCCTGTAGACCAGGCGAGGTGGTCAACATCTACCACGACCTCCTGTAGACCAGGCGAGGTGGTCAACATCTACCACGACCTCCTGTAGACCAGGCGAGGTGGTCAACAGCTACCACGACCTCCTGTAGACCAGGCGAGGTGGTCAACATCTACCACGACCTCCTGCAGACCAGGCGAGGTGGTCAACATCTACCACGACCTCCTGTAGACCAGGCGAGGTGGTCAACATCTACCACGACCTCCTGTAGACCAGGCGAGGTGGTCAACATCTACCACGACCTCCTGTAGACCAGCCGAGATGGTCAACATCTACCACGACCTCCTGTAGACCAGGCGAGGTGGTCAACATCTACCACGACCTCCTGTAGATCAGGCGAGGTGGTCAACATCTCACCCAGCCACTGTGGTGTCTCTGTTAATCAAACCCGGTGTGTGTCGATGTAGCAGGGTGTGTCTACGTAGTGCGGTGTGTCTACGTAGCTCTGTGTGTCTACGTAGACAGACACTGTGTCTACGTAGAGAGACACTGTGTCTAAGTAGCTGGGTGTGTCTCAGTCGTCTGAGAACGTCATTCTTCCGGCTCCGTCACTGCGTTGAGAGCGCCTGAATCGCTTCCAACGGGAATCCTGGGCCAGCCTGACCCTCTCCTCCTCCTGCTGCTGCCTACGGAATTCCTGAGACAAACAGAGAGAGACACACGGTGAGAGAGACACGGTGAGAGAGACACAGAGAGAGAGAGAGACACACAGAGAGAGACACAGTGAGAGAGACACGGTGAGAGAGAGACACGGTGAGAGAGAGAGACACACAGTGAGAGAGACACACACAGAGACACACAGTGACACACACACACACAGTGACACACAGAGAGAGAGAGAGACACAGAGACACACACAGAGAGAGACACGGTGAGAGAGACACACAGTGAGAGACACACACACAGAGACACACAGAGAGAGACACACAGAGAGAGACACACACACAGAGAGAGACACAGTGAGAGACACAGAGAGAGAGAGACAGTGAGAGACACACAGAGACACACAGAGAGAGAGACACGGTGAGAGAGAGAGACACACGGTGAGAGACACACAGTGAGAGAGACACAGAGAGAGAGAGAGAGACACACAGTGAGAGAGACACACGGTGAGAGACACACGGTGAGAGAGACACAGTGAGAGACACACACACAGAGAGAGACACACAGAGACACACATAGAGAGACACACACAGAGAGACACACAGAGACACACAGAGAGAGAGAGACACACAGAGACACACAGAGAGAGACACACAGAGAGAGACACGGTGAGAGAGAGACACGGTGAGAGAGACACACAGAGAGAGAGACACACACAGAGAGAGACACAGAGAGAGAGACACGGTGAGAGAGACACACAGAGAGAGAGAGAGACACACAGAGACACACAGAGAGAGAGACACAGAGACACACAGAGAGAGACACACGGTGAGAGACACAGAGAGAGAGACACACAGTGAGAGAGACACACAGTGAGAGACACAGAGAGAGACACACAGAGAGAGACACACAGAGAGAGACACACACACAGTGACACACACAGAGACACACAGAGAGAGACACAGTGAGAGACACACACAGAGACACACAGAGAGAGACACACAGTGAGAGAGACACACAGTGAGAGACACACAGTGAGAGACACACAGAGAGAGACACAGAGAGACACACACACACACAGTGACACACACAGAGACACACAGAGAGAGACACACACAGAGAGACACACACAGAGAGAGACACACAGAGAGAGACACACGGTGAGAGAGACACACAGTGAGAGAGAGAGACACACGGTGAGAGACACACAGTGAGAGAGACACAGAGAGAGAGACACACAGTGAGAGAGACACACGGTGAGAGAGACACACAGAGAGAGACACACGGTGAGAGAGACACAGAGAGAGAGACACGGTGAGAGAGAGACACGGTGAGAGACACACACAGAGACACACAGTGAGAGACACAGAGAGAGACACACACAGAGAGAGAGACACAGTGAGAGACACAGAGAGAGAGACAGTGAGAGACACACAGAGACACACAGTGAGAGACACACAGTGAGAGAGAGACACAGTGAGAGACACAGAGAGAGAGACAGTGAGAGACACACAGAGACACACAGAGAGAGAGACACACAGAGAGAGAGAGAGACACACAGAGAGAGAGAGACACACAGAGAGAGACACACGGTGAGAGACACACACACACAGAGACACACAGAGACACAGAGAGAGAGAGACACACAGAGAGAGACACAGTGAGAGAGACACACGGTGAGAGAGAGACACACAGAGACACACAGAGAGAGAGACACACAGTGAGAGACACACAGAGACACACAGAGAGAGACACACAGAGAGAGACACACAGTGAGAGAGACACACAGAGAGAGACACACAGAGAGAGAGAGAGACACAGTGAGAGAGAGACACACAGTGAGAGAGACACGGTGAGAGAGACACACACAGAGAGACACACAGAGAGAGAGACACGGTGAGAGACACACACAGAGACACACAGAGAGAGACACACACACAGAGACACACACACAGAGACACACAGAGAGAGACACACAGAGAGTGACACACGGTGAGAGAGGCACAGTGAGAGAGAGAGACACACGGTGAGAGAGACACACAGAGAGAGACACACAGTGAGAGAGACACGGTGAGAGAGAGAGAGACACACGGTGAGAGAGACACGGTGAGAGAGACACAGAGAGACACACACAGTGAGAGACACGGTGAGAGAGACACGGTGAGAGAGAGAGACACACAGAGAGAGACACACAGTGAGAGACACACACACAGAGAGAGACACGGTGAGAGAGACACACACAGAGAGACACACGGTGAGAGAGACACACACAGAGAGACACACGGTGAGAGAGACACGGTGAGAGACACACACAGAGAGACACACAGAGAGAGACACACACACAGAGACACACACACAGAGACACACAGAGAGAGACACACAGAGAGTGACACACGGTGAGAGAGACACAGTGAGAGAGACACACGGTGAGAGAGACACAGTGAGAGAGAGAGACACACGGTGAGAGAGACACACAGAGAGAGACACACGGTGAGAGAGACACGGTGAGAGAGAGAGACACACGGTGAGAGACACACAGTGAGAGAGACACAGAGAGAGAGAGACACACAGTGAGAGACACGGTGAGAGAGACACGGTGAGAGAGAGACACAGTGAGAGACACACAGAGAGACACACAGAGACACACACACAGAGACACACAGTGAGAGACACACAGAGAGAGACACACACAGAGAGAGAGACACAGTGAGAGACACAGAGAGAGAGACAGTGAGAGACACACAGAGACACACAGTGAGAGACACACAGTGAGAGAGAGACACAGTGAGAGACACAGAGAGAGAGACAGTGAGAGACACACAGAGACACACAGAGAGAGAGACACAGAGAGAGAGAGAGACACAGAGAGAGAGAGAGACACACAGAGAGAGACACACGGTGAGAGACACACACACAGAGACACACAGAGACACACAGAGAGAGAGACACACAGTGAGAGACACGGTGAGAGAGACACGGTGAGAGAGAGACACGGTGAGAGAGAGACACAGTGAGAGACACACAGAGAGACACACAGAGACACACACACAGAGACACACAGTGAGAGACACACAGAGAGAGACACACACAGAGAGAGAGACACAGAGAGAGACACAGAGAGAGAGACAGTGAGAGACACACAGAGACACACAGTGAGAGACACACAGTGAGAGAGAGACACAGTGAGAGACACAGAGAGAGAGACAGTGAGAGACACACAGAGACACACAGAGAGAGAGACACAGAGAGAGAGAGAGACACAGAGAGAGAGAGACACACAGAGAGAGACACACGGTGAGAGACACACACACAGAGACACACAGAGACACACAGAGAGAGAGACACACAGAGAGAGACACACGGTGAGAGAGACACAGAGAGAGAGACACGGTGAGAGAGAGACACGGTGAGAGACACACACAGAGAGAGACACACAGAGACACACAGAGAGAGAGACACACGGTGAAAGACACACAGTGAGAGAGACACAGAGAGAGAGAGACACACAGTGAGAGAGACACAGAGAGAGAGACACGGTGAGAGAGAGACACGGTGAGAGACACACACACAGAGAGAGACACACAGAGACACAGAGAGAGACACACACACACAGAGAGACACACAGAGACACAGAGAGAGAGAGAGACACACAGAGACACACAGAGAGAGACACACAGAGAGAGACACGGTGAGAGAGAGACACGGTGAGAGAGACACACAGAGAGAGAGACACACACAGAGAGAGACACAGAGAGAGAGACACGGTGAGAGAGACACACAGAGAGAGAGAGACACACAGAGACACACAGAGAGAGAGACACAGAGACACACAGAGAGAGACACACGGTGAGAGACACAGAGAGAGAGAGACACACAGTGAGAGAGACACACAGTGAGAGACACAGAGAGAGACACACAGAGAGAGACACACAGAGAGAGACACACACACAGTGACACACACAGAGACACACAGAGAGAGACACACAGTGAGAGACACACACAGAGACACACAGAGAGAGACACACAGTGAGAGAGACACACAGTGAGAGACACACAGAGAGAGACACACAGAGAGAGACACAGAGAGAGACACACACACACAGTGACACACACAGAGACACACAGAGAGAGACACACACAGAGAGAGACACACAGAGAGAGAGACACGGTGAGGGAGAGACACACAGTGAGAGAGACACGGTGAGAGAGAGACACACGGTGAGAGAGACACGGTGAGAGAGAGAGAGACACGGGGAGAGAGACACGGGGAGAGAGACACGGGGAGAGAGGACACACGGTGAGAGAGAGACACACGGTGAGAGAGAGACACGGTGAGAGAGAGACGGTGAGAGAGACACGGGGAGAGAGAGAGACACGGGGAGAGAGACACGGGGAGAGAGAGAGACACGGGGAGAGAGAGAGAGACACGGGGAGAGAGAGAGACACGGGGAGAGAGACACGGGGAGAGAGAGAGACACGGGGAGAGAGAGAGACACGGGGAGAGAGAGACACACACACACAGAGACACGGGGAGAGAGACACCCACCCCTCACCACCATCACCACCCTCACCACCACTCCTCACCACCACCACCCTCACCCTCACCACCACCACCACCACCACCCTCACCACCACCATCACCACCACCCTCACCACCACCACCACCACCACCCTCACCCTCACCACCACCCTCACCATCACCACCACCACCACCACCCCCCTCACCACCACCACCACCACCCTCACCACCACCACCACCCTCACCACCACCACCACCCTCACCACCACCATCACCACCACCACCCTCACCACCACTCCTCACCACCACCACCACCACCATCACCACCTCCACCACCACCACCCTCACCACCACCACCACCACCGTCACCACCCTCACCACCACCACCACCACCCTCACCACCCTCACCACCACCACCTCCCTCACCCTCACCACTCCTCACCTCCATATTCCGCTTCTCCCACAGAGCGAGCTGTACAAGTCTCTCCCGCTGCTCGTCCGACATCGACCGAAACTCCTCAACGCTCAGCCGCAGGGAGTGGCGGGTGAGGTGGAGCCTCTCGGTGGGCCCCAGCTCCCGTCCCAGTACCGTGAAGAGCCACAGCCAGCGCAGGTGGAAGGCGGAGAAGCGGAGCAGCGAGTAGGGGAGCAGGAGCAGACGCACCAGGAGGACGTCCGTGACGCGGGGCTTACGGTAGCCACCCTGCGGGGAGGCCGGAGGGAGAGATTGAGAGACTCAGAGACTCAGAGACTCAGAGAGAGACTCAGAGACTCAGAGACTGAGAGACTCAGAGACTCAGAGAGAGACTCAGAGACTCAGAGAGAGATTGAGAGACTCAGAGAGAGACTCAGAGAGAGACTCAGAGACTCAGAGAGAGATTGAGAGACTCAGAGAGAGACTCAGAGACTCAGAGAGAGACTCAGAGACTGAGAGATTGAGAGACTCAGAGAGAGACTCAGACAGAGACTGAGAGACTGAGAGACTGAGAGAGAGACTGAGAGACTCAGAGAGAGACTCAGAGACTCAGAGAGAGACTCAGAGAGAGAGACTCAGAGAGAGACTCAGAGAGAGAGACTCAGAGAGAGACTGAGAGACTGAGAGAGAGACTCAGAGAGAGAGACAGAGAGAGAGACTGAGAGAGAGACTGAGAGAGAGACTGAGAGAGAGACTGAGAGACTCAGAGAGAGACTCAGAGACTGAGAGATTGAGAGACTCAGAGAGAGACTCAGAGAGAGACTCAGAGACTCAGAGATTGAGAGAGAGACTGAGAGAGAGAGACTGGGAGATTGAGAGAGAGACTGAGAGAGAGACTGAGACACAGGGAGACTGGAAGGCGGAGAAGCGGAGCAGCGAGAAGGGGAGCAGGAGCAGACGCACCAGGAGGACGTCCGTGACGCGGGGCTTACGGTAGCCACCCTGCGGGGAGGCCGGAGGGAGAGACTGAGAGACTCAGAGACTCAGAGACTCAGAGAGAGACTCAGAGACTCAGAGAGAGACTCAGAGAGAGATTGAGAGAGATTGAGAGACTCAGAGAGAGATTGAGAGACTGAGAGACTCAGAGACTGAGAGAGAGAGACTCAGAGATTGAGAGACTCAGAGACTGAGAGACTGAGAGACTCAGAGAGAGACTCACAGACTCAGAGACTCAGAGATTGAGAGACTCAGAGACTCAGAGAGAGACTCAGAGACTCAGAGAGAGACTCAGAGAGAGATTGAGAGAGATTGAGAGACTCAGAGAGAGATTGAGAGACTCAGAGAGAGACTCAGAGAGAGACTGAGAGAGACTCAGAGAGAGACTCAGAGAGAGACTCAGAGACTGAGAGACTGAGAGAGAGATTGAGAGACTCAGAGAGAGACTCAGAGAGAGACTGAGAGACTCAGAGAGAGACTCAGAGAGAGACTCAGAGACTGAGAGACTGAGAGAGAGATTGAGAGACTCAGAGAGAGACTCAGAGAGAGACTCAGAGAGAGACTCAGAGAGAGACTGAGAGAGAGACTCAGAGAGAGACTCAGAGACTGAGAGAGAGAGACTCAGAGAGAGACTGAGAGACTCAGAGACTGAGAGACTGAGAGACTCAGAGAGAGAGACTCAGAGACTCAGAGAGAGACTCGGAGACTGAGAGATTGAGAGACTCAGAGAGAGACTGAGAGAGACTCAGAGAGAGACTCAGAGAGAGACTCAGAGACTGAGAGACTGAGAGAGAGATTGAGAGACTCAGAGAGAGACACAGAGAGAGACTGAGATACTCAGAGAGAGACTCAGAGAGAGACTCAGAGACTGAGAGACTGAGAGAGAGATTGAGAGACTCAGAGAGAGACTCAGAGAGAGACTCAGAGAGAGACTGAGAGAGAGACTCAGAGAGAGACTCAGAGACTGAGAGAGAGAGACTCAGAGAGAGACTGAGAGACTCAGAGACTGAGAGACTGAGAGACTCAGAGAGAGACTCAGAGACTCAGAGAGAGACTCGGAGACTGAGAGATTGAGAGACTCAGAGAGAGACTCAGAGACTGAGAGAGAGACTCAGAGACTGAGAGAGAGACTCAGAGACTGAGAGAGAGACTCAGAGAGAGACTCAGAGACTGAGAGACTGAGAGACTGAGAGAGAGATTGAGAGAGAGAGAGACAGGGAGATTGAGAGAGAGAGAGAGAGACTGAGAGAGAGACTGAGAGAGAGACTGAGACACAGGGAGACTGGAAGGCGGAGAAGCGGAGCAGCGAGTAGGGGAGCAGGAGCAGACGCACCAGGAGGACGTCCGTGACGCGGGGCTTACGGTAGCCACCCTGCGGGGAGGCCGCAGGGAGAGATTGAGAGACTCAGAGAGAGACTCAGAGACTCAGAGAGAGACTCAGAGACTCAGAGACTGAGAGACTCAGAGAGAGATTGAGAGACTCAGAGAGACTCAGAGACTGAGAGACTGAGAGAGAGATTGAGAGACTCAGAGACTCAGAGAGAGACTCAGAGAGAGACTCAGAGAGAGATTGAGAGAGATTGAGAGACTCAGAGAGAGATTGAGAGACTCAGAGAGAGACTCAGAGAGAGACTGAGAGAGACTCAGAGAGAGACTCAGAGAGAGACTCAGAGACTGAGAGACTGAGAGAGAGATTGAGAGACTCAGAGAGAGACTCAGAGAGAGACTGAGAGACTCAGAGAGAGACTCAGAGAGAGACTCAGAGACTGAGAGACTGAGAGAGAGATTGAGAGACTCAGAGAGAGACTCAGAGAGAGACTCAGAGAGAGACTCAGAGAGAGACTGAGAGAGAGACTCAGAGAGAGACTCAGAGACTGAGAGAGAGAGACTCAGAGAGAGACTGAGAGACTCAGAGACTGAGAGACTCAGAGAGAGACTGAGAGAGAGACTCAGAGAGAGACTCAGAGACTGAGAGAGAGAGACTCAGAGAGAGACTGAGAGACACAGAGACTGAGAGACTCAGAGACTCAGAGAGAGACTCAGAGACTCAGAGAGAGACTCGGAGACTCAGAGAGAGACTCGGAGACTGAGAGATTGAGAGACTCAGAGAGAGACTCAGAGACTGAGAGAGAGACTCAGAGACTGAGAGAGAGACTCAGAGAGAGACTCAGAGAGAGACTCAGAGAGAGACTCAGAGACTGAGAGACTGAGAGAGAGATTGAGAGACTCAGAGAGAGACTCAGAGAGAGACTCAGAGAGAGACTCAGAGAGAGACTGAGAGAGAGACTCAGAGAGAGACTCAGAGACTGAGAGAGAGAGACTCAGAGAGAGACTGAGAGACTCAGAGACTGAGAGACTCAGAGACTCAGAGAGAGACTCAGAGACTCAGAGAGAGACTCGGAGACTGAGAGATTGAGAGACTCAGAGAGAGACTCAGAGACTGAGAGAGAGACTCAGAGAGAGAGACTCAGAGAGAGACTCAGAGACTGAGAGAGACTCAGAGACTGAGAGAGACTCAGAGAGAGACTGAGAGAGAGAGACTGAGAGAGAGAGACTGAGAGAGAGACTGAGAGAGAGACTGAGAGAGAGACTGAGACACAGGGAGACTGGAAGGCGGAGAAGCGGAGCAGCGAGTAGGGGAGCAGGAGCAGACGCACCAGGAGGACGTCCGTGACGCGGGGCTTACGGTAGCCACCCTGCGGGGAGGCCGGAGGGAGAGACTGAGAGACTCAGAGACTCAGAGACTCAGAGACTCAGAGAGAGACTCAGAGAGAGACTGAGAGAGACTCAGAGATTGAGAGACTCAGAGAGAGACTCAGAGAGAGACTGAGAGAGACTCAGAGACTCAGAGACTCAGAGAGAGACTCAGAGAGAGACTGAGAGAGAGACTCAGAGATTGAGAGACTCAGAGAGAGACTCAGAGACTGAGAGACTCAGAGAGAGACTGAGAGACTCAGAGACTGAGAGAGAGATTGAGAGACTCAGAGATTGAGAGACTCAGAGGGAGAGACTGAGAGAGAGACTGAGAGACTCAGAGACTGAGAGAGATATTGAGAGACTCAGAGATTGAGAGACTCAGAGGGAGAGACTGAGAGAGACTCAGAGAGAGACTCAGAGAGAGACTGAGAGACTGAGAGACTGAGAGAGAGACTCAGAGACTGAGAGAGAGACTCAGAGAGAGACTCAGAGAGAGACTCAGAGAGAGACTCAGAGACTGAGAGACTGAGAGAGAGACTCAGAGACTGAGAGAGACTCAGAGACTGAGAGACTGAGAGAGAGACACAGAGACTGAGTGAGAGAGACAGGGAGATTGAGAGAGAGACTCAGAGAGAGACTCAGAGACTGAGGGACTCAGAGAGAGACTCAGAGACTCAGACAGAGACTGAGAGAGAGACTGAGAGAGAGACTGAGAGAGAGAGACTCAGAGAGAGACTCAGAGAGAGACTCAGAGACTGAGAGACTGAGAGACTCAGAGAGAGACTCAGAGACTGAGAGAGAGACTCAGAGACTGAGAGAGAGACTCAGAGAGAGACTCAGAGAGAGACTCAGAGACTGAGAGACTGAGAGACTCAGAGAGAGACTCAGAGACTGAGAGAGAGACTCAGAGACTGAGAGAGAGACTCAGAGAGAGACTGAGAGAGAGACTCAGAGAGAGACTCAGAGACTGGGAGATTGAGAGAGAGAGACTGAGAGAGAGAGACTGAGAGAGAGACTGAGAGAGAGACGGAGACACAGGGAGACTGGAAGGCGGAGAAGCGGAGCAGCGAGTAGGGGAGCAGGAGCAGACGCACCAGGAGGACGTCCGTGACGCGGGGCTTACGGTAGCCACCCTGCGGGGAGGCCGCAGGGAGAGACTGAGAGACTCAGAGACTCAGAGACTCAGAGAGAGACTCAGAGACTCAGAGAGAGACTCAGAGAGAGACTGAGAGAGACTCAGAGATTGAGAGACTCAGAGAGAGACTCAGAGAGAGACTGAGAGAGAGACTCAGAGATTGAGAGACTCAGAGAGAGACTCAGAGACTGAGAGACTGAGAGAGAGACTGAGAGACTCAGAGACTGAGAGAGAGATTGAGAGACTCAGAGATTGAGAGACTCAGAGGGAGAGACTGAGAGAGACTCAGAGAGAGACTCAGAGAGAGACTGAGAGACTGAGAGAGAGAGACTGAGAGAGAGACTGAGAGAGAGAGACTGAGAGAGAGACTGAGAGAGAGAGACTGAGACAGAGAGACTGAGAGAGAGAGACTGAGAGAGAGACTCAGAGAGAGAGACTCAGAGACTGAGAGAGAGACTCA